CCTTGAGCATGGAGTCGCTTTTGTTAGGGAGCATTTTTCCCGAATATCGGAAATCGAATTGAAAGAAAAAAACACACTAGACGTTGAATTTTCCAATCTTAGCCTTGTCCAAAAGCTCGTTATATCTTATCACTACGTTAGGTTAAGGGGTAAACAAATTTTTCTAGAACATAACCATATGTCTTGGTCGAATAAAGAACCTAGGATAGACTACCAAGAAAGGAGCTACACAAAGGGAAGAGCCCACCAATTTCTAAAGTTATCTTTCCTTTTATCATATTCTAACGCATTTTCTATAATATTTTTAAAATGTACTAATATTTTTGAGCACTATAATTCCTAGGTTTTAAACTCATTTATTGCTATTAAACCACGAACAAGTCGAATAAAGCTTTTTTACCTTTGAAGAACCGTACGTGATCCACGTGCATATATGATAAACTAAAAGAATGGTTCGTGCCAGGGATTTAATTCACAACCAAAAATAATGTGTGCTTGGTACGACAGAAAATATTTTCGAATTTTTCTTATCAAAAACAAAAGTTTTAGAAGAAATTTTGTCTCCAGTCTCCATTATTCAACACTCTAAAAAATTTAGAAATTATTTTAAATGAGCTACTGCAATAAACATCAGCAAAGAACTTTTTCTATTGTAATGGAAAATATTTTCATTACAACTTTGACAGCCAGAACGTATATCTTATTTTATGAAAAACATTGGTATTCCCCTTTTATAAAATCTGTTTTTAATTATTTATTTCTCGCTTCTGAAATTTGTCGCAAAAAGCCAACATAGGGTTAATAATGCTTTCACAATCTAGGAGATCATCATTTAAAAGAGGACTAACTCTGATTAAATTAATGTACTCCAACTTGTATGATGTAGCTTTATTTCCATATCACTTTCTTTCTTTTAGCCTGGCATCATAGGGTATTTAAGACCATTTAACTTCTTTTAGAAAAAAAAAATTCACAAGAACATTATTTTCTTCTAATTTGGATTAGAAGCGGATTCATGATTTGACCATTATAGTTCGGAATGCCACTACACTATTAACCATTTGAGGAACTGAATTTGCAATTTAATTTATTAATTTAGTACTGTTGTTAACATATATACAGAATCTAAACAAAAGCTATTAGTTTTGATTGAACCTTTAGCATATAATGTACATTCGCCCTTGATTTGAATCGGCGTAATAGAACTTGCAAGATTAGAAATATTCAGTCAACTTAACCTTATTTTTCTCTATTGCAAGCAACGAGTGATTTTTTCATGATCAATACAAATATTTATTTTTTGCGATCATGGTGAAATTAAAAAATGATTTTTCTCTCGCCCAACAACAACAAAATTACCCTCACGTATTTTCATCTTTTTACAAACAACTCCCTTCGACAAAAGCTAAGTTTTGATAGTATTTTTTTTAGTGTACTAATAAGAAAATCAATCGCTTTAAAAGATCTCGGATTTTTGCAACTATATCACTCTTTACACAATAAAAAGATTTAAAATCTTTTATTAACCTAAAAAAATATAATCTATTTAGACTTTAGGAAGGGACAAAGCAGAAATTAGGTGGCAATGACAATATTCCAGCGTGGCAAAAAAGCAAGTGGGGTCCAATGAGCACGAGATTGATATCTGGAAAGCATCTAAAGGTCGAGAACGGACCCATCTCATCTAAACATCTTTAGGAATGGGCGGTTTGTAAGGGCCCACTGGGTTTGTGGACTTTGGAATAAATTTAATTAAAAGCAGCTGCCACGTCAGATTGTTGATGTTGTTTATGGGGGGGTCTATAGTTGAAAATGGGGTCTGAGGTAAGCTTTAACTCTATATTTGATTTTGTATTTTTTGGTTTTCGGTCCGTGTCCGGTAATCGTATTGGAGTTCCGATTAGTTCGAAATCGTATCGCATAAGGTCAGCAAAGAAAGAAACACTTACTCCCTCCTGTCCAGCCACATTGTCATCTCTGAGGCTCTATTACATGGACTCGATCACGAAAACATATTTAATACGATTGCGTATAAGTATTATGTATATGTTCGGTAACATTTTACAAACCCAAGGTGCATTTCAAATTTTTTAAGTTATTCACGTTTTTTTGGGTTATTTTTTAATAGCCCCTCCACGCAATTCTTCTGAATTTCGAATAGTATTCAAGATACTCTCTTTACCACATTGCTGGACTTTAAAAAAAAAAAAAAGAAGCGTTCGAGTATTTCACAATGTATATGTTATGATTTTAGTGGTTTTTGACGAGTCGTATCTCTATTGAAACTCTTCCAGCAAAAGAAAAGATAGATAAGGATGTATGAATTCTCGAGAAGAGAGGAGCTGTGGTGGTCCCCCGGACCGCCCGAATCCTGTATATTGTCCCATTTGTTCTGTTGAAATAGAACCTTAATTTATTACTTTTTTTTTTATTAGATTATTAGATTTGTTAGTGATTAGACGTATTTCAACGAAAATGAAAAATCCGAGCAACATAAATCAAATCGAAGAAATGTGGGGGCCACAATGTAAATGATCAAAATTTGTGAGTGGGGGCCGAATAAGCGCCGGCCTACCCCCCTAAAAAAGGTTTTGGCCATAGTGTTTGCCCGTTCATATCCATTGTCCCCATATGAATGTGTACGTAATGACACAACTTTTTTTGGTAGGGTTATTGTTCTCATTTAGAGAAGAACGAACAATGTTGCACTCTGATTTCGTTTTTTTTTTTTTTAAAAAAAAAAAATTATTTATAATATTGTGAAACAAAAATTTGAACTTAATAGATAAAATTATCTATGCAACAAGAAATGTTCTGCAATTTTGTTACTTCCGCACTATTTTTTGAATATACCACTATTCCTCATATTATAAATCACTATGTGAGGCAAAAAAATTCGATATCAATGAAAAAGCAATTTCTATGTGCGTCAAGCACATCTATGATTTTGGAGATAACTAGTAAAGAAGTTGGCATGATCAATAAGAGGGTATTATTGACGTGGGCGGAGCTTCTTCGCGTCATATCATTGTTTCATCGTAAGATAATTCGATGTCATGATGCAAAAGCTGATCGGTTCTGCTTTATCTCTCATGATTTAGCTGGACAATTTCACCTCTGAATCGAGCGATCAATTGCCTAATTAGAGTCTAAGAAGTTTTTTACTAATGAAAGCTCGTTTGACTTTCAAAAATATGAGACAAGGCTGATACAACTAATTTTCTCTTTTCTGAAGCGAATAAATTTATTTTCTCATTTTTTTTCTCCTAAAAAAGATAGGTGCGCTTATTATTGCATTTTCTGCCTGGTAAAACTACCCAAGCACATTAAGATTCAGTAACTTTTAGAAATACTTTATGCTGACAACACCTATTTGTTTCCTTTTTTTTAAAATCTATTTATTTATTTAGTTTTATCTTGTTAGGTGCTACTGCGAGCTTCGATATTAGAGTAAGAGGGCGAATGATTGTTGCATGCCGTAGAGGAAGCGTTTAGAAGAAATCTGCATGATTTTACGTGAATAAGGCCAATAGTTTGCATGATCCAATAATACTTATAGAAATTGGATCAAGATAAGTCAGTTTTTATTAAATTTAAGTTGTTTGACCATCAAATATACATACATTTTCCTCGACCAATTAATAAATTTTCGTGAGCACACTAGCGGACCTATAATTTTAATACAACGGGACCATCGGTATTCTGCTCAACCAATGCGCTCTAAAAGCTTTTAATGTTCAGAGTAACTCAAATTAATCATTTTCAAGATATACACATATGCATATACAAAATTTTTATCGAAGTTTACGGGTCCGATGACCACTCAATATCATACATAGGTTCGCCTCTGTGTGGGAGGACGAGGGGTGGAGCTAAAACCAAGAAATGCAATTAGAGAAAGAAATAAGACAAATGCATAGAAACAGAAAAAGAATTATATAAAATTACATGAATATGAAAGCATGATAGTCTCAGTCACCTAAGTAGTAGACTGCACAAAACACAGAATAAACCTCTCAAGAAAAAGATATGATAGTTGTTATAGCAAATGGCCTCCACCACCATGCATGTGGCTTTGCTATTTCCAAAAATCTCATAATATGGGCTTACACAACCAAGTTAATTAATTAATTGCTCACTCCACTTGTGTGTGTGACAAACAAGTATAAATAAAACTAAGGTTGTCCAGCGGACGAGACGGGACGATCTTGACGGGACATGACACAAACTTAAAGGGATAAAAGGGACCGGGCCGAAATAAAAGGGACAACTATAAGCCCGTCCGGTCCCACTAACTAACAGGATGGGACGGGGCGGATCGTGATGAGAGCCCTTAGTGGGATTTTGTAAAATTTAAATATTTAAGCATTAAAATTATATAAAGTTTTTAAAATTGGTAGCGGCTATTTTTTTTTATAAATCTAAACATACATTTCATAACCTATTTTCTCAACTTAAATACATGTCTAAATTCTGAATCCACCACTGCTCCAACCTTATACAATTAAGTAATGGTTAGTTTGACCAATTTTTAGAGTCAAATTACATTCAATTTAGCTACATATGTTCTTTAAATAAATTTTAAAAATCATAGTAACGATATTACAAGCTATAATCTTTTCTATATCAAAACAATAAAAGAGTAATATTATAAAGTCTTAACCGATTAGCATCACCATGTCTACTTGTTAGGAAGAAAAATAGAATAACTTTGAGATAAATGGATCAACTATTCAATAATATCTGCAGAAAGAAGACTCTCAACTTAAACAATTTTAAAAAATAGAAACCAAGTATTATTGAGTTGTTTTAATACTTTTAAAGATATAGTAAAGCATAAATATATTTACAACTAGACCTGCCTATTCTGTCCCACCTTTTATGTCACTGATGTGAGATGTCAATTTGTATATCCCTCAAGATTCTTCTCCTTTTTTTTTATATATATATTAATTTAATTAATACAATACATTTTTACTTCCCTATAAATAGCCCTCAATTGATCATTTCTCATCATCAGTCTCACATTCAAAGCACTTTGGCCACCTTTGCTCCTTTTCTTCTTTACTCTTTCTTCAAATCTTTAGTTTCAAGTTTATTTCTCCATTTCCAATGGCCAGTGTTGAGGTATATTTTTCTGGTTATTTATGCATCGATTATTCTTCCTGTTTTTTTTTTCTTTTTCAAATAAGAACCTAATGTTTATTTACTCTAGGCAAGATCAGCTAGCTACTAATTCTTTTACAGTACCTATCTATAACATCATCGTTTGTTCAGAAACTTTTTTGGCTGCTATAGTGAAGTGCTGTTATAAAGAACATATATAATAACATAATATAAAAGATTCGTTCCAAAAAAAAAACTTGCCGTTATAGTGAAGTGTCGTTATAAAGGATGACTTTTATAGAGAAGTCTAACTGTATAACATATCAATTAATCTTGGAATCAAGTCTAGTGGGGATCAATGATCATTGATGTGAAAAAGAAAACAAGTTAATAGATCATTCTTACACAAGGGGTTATAAACCATTTCTTAATGAAAATTAAGCTTGGAAATACCATGTTTCTTTTTGGGAATTTTTGTTAGAATATGTGTATTTAAATCGTCAAGAATTCAAAAAATAGTATGTCAATGATCAATAGTAGCTTGATTAATCAAATCTTGGCTTTTAAATAAAAGCAGTAGCAACCCCATTTCATCATTTTGGATTGTTCATTCTATATGATCTTTAACTTGATGATCAACCACTGACAGTGGCGAGGTTAGAAATTTGCATAAGGATATGCAAAAAATACAAGAATGTTAATACAAAAGGATCCAAATTTGCGGTTAAAGCAATGTTTGAATTCAACGCTCTCACTACACTTCCTTATGTCAAATGACTTCAACAACTTATATATATAAAAACATATATCTTTATCATATTTGTATATTATAATTTTTCGACAAAGCAGATTAGTTCTCATTTGTACCAATGATCTTACTTCAAGAATCGATAGCAATTTGCCTCTTTCTTATTCGTTGAGATCTTTCTTTCTTTCTTTCATTTTTTTTTTCTTTTAATTGTTTTTGGTTATGAAGGTTCAATCTGCACCAGTAGAAGTAGTAGGAACTGCTCCAGTTGAGGTCGAGGTGAAAACTACACCAGAGGCACCCAAGTCTGAGGAATCCGCCCCAACTCATGTAGCGGAGGAAACTGTGACAGCACCAGTATCAGCACCAGTAGAAGAGACTGCTCGAATTGAAGAGAAATCAGCCCCTGCTGCTGAGGATGCGGTAGCTGAAGAAGCAACGACAGAAGCAGAAGCAGAAGCTCCAGTGGCAGAGGAGACAGTGGCTGAAGAAGCTGCAGAAGCAGAAGTAGAAGCACCTGCAGCTGAGGAAACAGTAGCTGCTGCTGAAGTTGAAACTCCAGCAGTAGTATTAGCTGAAGTGAAGACTGAGGCAGAAGAAGAAAAAGATGTTGAAACAACTGAAGCTCCAGCTGCAGCAGAGGCTTCCACAGAAGTTCCAGTGGAGAAAACTGAAGAGTAAACTGAGCTACTCTTTTTATAAAGAGTGAAAATGGATAACGCAATGGTTGGTAAATGATGGGTTGGTCTTTGATATTTTCATTTTCTAAGTTAAGGTTTATATATTTACTACTACTACTACTATTATTAGTATTATCACTACTACCTAGTTGGCTATGTTTGTGGGGATTTAGTTGTCAAGTTTTATGGTTGTAAGAGAAGATGAGAGGAGATATGATCTCTGCCTTTGAACAATAAAGGATTACTATATCTTTTTTATCCTGTTATGTGTCTTTAGAAACTCAGGTTTCCTAATCCTATAGAAAACAACAACTTGAATCAGGTTATCTAACAGTTTCGACAATATTTTCTTAGCTAACTCGCAACATTCTACCTCTATACTTTATATTAACTACTCAGTATGATATACACAACCGAGGGGGCAGTGGAACAGTTGAGATCCCTCAGCCTTAATATAAATTCTCGGGTTTCAATCCTGAGAATAGAGAACTTTTCTGCAGAAAAAGTATTGCCCTCCTTGAACCGAGTTCAGAACCCATTTGTGGCTCTTTTGGACAAGTGTGACATAAATTCGTGTAAAAAAAAAAAAAGAGTGAGCATTCTATATTTTTTCATTAAAGAGCGCTATACTTTAACGGAGTTTTGGCCGTTAAAGTATATCGTTCTTTAAAAGAGCGATATATATTATATATAATATATATATAATATATATATATATATATATATATATATATAATATATCATATATAATATAATATTATATAACGCATAAAGAACCGCGCTATGCTGGGCTGATATGACAGCTATGTATAGCGCTGTATATAACCGCGCTATATATGTATTGCAGTTATATACCGCGCTATACATAGATAAATAGGGCCCCTTCTTCTTCCCCACGATCATCGAACCAGACGACCCCATTTTTTAGTAGCTAACAAACGGTCACCCGACCCACCCACCCCCCCCCCCCTCTCCAAATTCATTCTTTAAAAAATTATAGTGGACCCCACCCGTCACACAAAAAGATAAGATTGTATGTCCCACATCCTAGCCAAGCCTTCTATTGTTGTGGTTTTCTCGTTTCGAGCTCAAATTTTCAATTCATCGACTTTCCGAAAAATATAAATCGAGGTATTCCGATTTAGTTTATGTCGAAACTCGTATAATAATGCATATTAGTTGTTTTGAATGTATTTTCATGTTGTTTTGTGTTTTTTTGCGATTAAACTAGTATGTTATTTTTATCCGGACTAAGATACTAGTATTCTAAAAAAATATGTAAAACTTGAGAAATCATTATTTTTTGTTAATAAAAATGTTAATAAATTTCTTTTACTGTTTTATATGTATTTTCGTGAATGTTTTGTGATTAAAATGTATTTGTTGTTTTTATCTAGTTTAGATTATTTATTTGCTTAAAGACTAGTGCCCTTTTAGCGTAGTAAAATGTAGAGCCTTTTAGCGTAGAATCCTTGTAGTTTAAGTATCTCTTATACTGATAGATCAAAACCAAACTCTGTACAATTTACAAAAATTAATTATTTAATTTATAAAACAAACATTTATGAAAATATTAAAATTGACACACATAAGAATTCAGGATAGCTTGGTGCTACTGGGCCTCAAATACCGAGCCTGGAACCCATAGGTATATACTCTGTCCAATTAAATATGATAAAAATTAATTATTTAATTACAGATCAAACATACAAAATTACAAAAACATTAAAATTGACACATACAAGAAATCAGGATAGCTTGATGTTACTGAGCCTCAAATATCGAGCCTGGAACCCATAGGTATATACTCTGTCCAATTAAATATGATAAAAATTAATTATTTAATTTACAGATCAAACATACAAAATTACAAAAACATTAAAATTGACACATACAAGAAATCAGGATAGCTTGGTGCTACTGGGCCTCAAAAATCGAGCCTGGAACCCATAAAAAGTATATACTCTGTCCAATTAAATATTGTATAATTATAAAAAAATAATTATTTAATTTACATATCAAACATACAAAATTACGAAAATAATAAAATTGACACATATAAGAAATCAGGATAGTTTGGTGCTACTGGGCCTCAAATATCGAGCTTGGAACCCATAGATATTTACTCTGTCCAATTAAATATTGTATAATTATAAAATAATTATTTAATTTACAGATCAAACATACAATTAATATTGTTTAATTTACGGTAGACGACATGGACGTGCCATGTATGCATCCCAGACCTGTCTCCGATGAGCTATTAGTGTTACAAGGCGATCATAGGTCCGCCTACGTATGGGAGGGAGAGCTACTGGCCCAGACTCTTCGCGCCAGGAGAGTGGACGACGTGTGGGATTTTATGAAGGACAGAGTTCCCTATCCCCATGTAGTCCAGCGCCTGCGGGATACGTGCTTCTACAAGATTTTTTAGATCGGGTGGCTGCAGCTCGACTGGTCTTTGATCACGATCCTGATAGAGCGGTGGCGAGCGGAGACACACACTTTCTACCCGCCCATTGGCGAGGCCACCATCACGCTGCAGGACGTGGAGGTTTTATATGGGATGCCTGTTGATGGACTGCCCGTTGCACTGCCTCAGGTTATGAGAGAGATGACGCGTGGGCAGTATTTGGACATGCTGCAGCAGCTCACTAGTTTCAGGCCACAGGATGAGACTGCACACTCAGGGGCCAGTCGCATGAGTTTGACAGCTATTAGACAGCATTTAGAGATATAGCACCCCGACATCACCGGCGAGACAGATGATCTACATATTCACCGGTATACGAGGTTGGTGCTGCTCCTTCTGTTTGGGGGGGGGGGGGGTTCTTGTTCCCGAACACTTCGGGGAACCTAGTCAGCTTGCGATTTCTTCATCATACTCAGCTGCTAGATGATTTACCCCAGTACAGCTGGGGTGTTGCTGTTCTCGCCTACATGTACATGCAATTGTGTCGGCTGAGCAGGGCGCCCGGCATGATGTATGTGCATTTTTGCCGCTTCTACAGGTGACAACATATTCGAATACTCTGTTCATTCCTTCCAATTCTATCTAGTCAAAATTTATCTTAAACTTTACGTCAACTTTGTATGTTAGGCTTGGGCCTGGGAGCGATTCCTGCAGTTGCAGCCACCTCTACTATCATTACCTCTAGATGTACCACCTCCGTTTCTCCCTCTAGCTAGGAGGTGGGTTCTTCGGCGTGGATATGTACGAGATTACGATGCTCAACATAATCTCCCCCTTTGCAGGGATGAGTTGGATATGCTGGAGGGCGCACAGGTAAATGTGTACCTAAACTTACTTGGTATAGCTTCACATGTGTTGCGCATACTCACGTTTTCTATTGTTGTTTGATAGTTCATCTGGACGCCATACAGTGACGACTTGATAGGTGGCCTGCCCGATTATTGCTCGGTCGGTCGACTGATTTGGAGCACTTCCATCCCGCTGATGTGCCTCGATATTGAGGAGCATCATGCCACGGAGCGGGTACTTCGCCAGTTTGGCCGTCCGCAGTACATACCAAGGGGGCCTACATGGGAAGCTACACATTATCAGCAGGATGATCATTCCAGGGTGGACGACGCATTTGTAGCATGGCTAGAGGCGCAGGTCCATACTTGGGACCGGCGAGGTGACCTGATTTCGCTCCCCCCCCCCCCCCCACAGATCCAGAAGGAGACTATTCAGATCTATATGCCCTGGTACCGCCGCGTTACCCGACTTTTTGTCGGGAATCCCATTCATCAGGCTGGCGGTCGGTACGTTCCATACGTCGGGCGGCACGAGGCCCTGGTATGTTTTTCTGTTATTATTAATTAGATAACTGTAACTTAGTGCAATATCTGTAGTTTATATTTTATACGTTGTGCAGGCTATTGGCCTGCATATAGTCTACCAGATGGGACTGCAGATGCATCAGCATGCCGGCGAGGGAGCGGCCGCTTTGCATGATTACGGCCGGCAGCTTGCAGAGGTGGCTGCCCTGACACTGCAGCGAGCTCGAGAGGATCAGCGTTTGGGACACGAACCTGCTTATGTGGCGCCAGAGCACTACCAGCGAGGCAGGGGTTTCACACGAGGTGGAGGTACCCCACAAGGCAGGGCTGCCCCACGAGACAGGGCTGCCGTACGGGGTCGTGGTGGGCGGCAAGGAGGTGGTCCCCAGCAAGGGGGCGTTGAGGCCCCTGTTGATGCTGGTCTGCCGGGTGACCTACATGAGCCGAACGAGTATCCCAGCAGCATGCCGTCATACAGCCTTGGGATGCAGCTCACTCCAGGGACTTCGCAGGTGACCCCGTCAGGTCCATTATTGATCACGGGCATGGACCTTACCGGAAAGGATTGGGATGCATACTTCCCAGGCCCATCGACCGCTGCTGAGGAACGGCCGACCCGAGATTTGAATAGTGGGCGTCGACTGAGTTATGGCTCATCATCACAGGCGCAGGTATGGTTTTATTAGTACTCCCTCCGTTTCATATTAGATGAGGTAGTTTGACTCGGCACGGAGTATAAAAAAAAAGAAAAGACTTTTGAAACTTGTGATCTTAAAAGCTTAAGGGGTAAAAGGTTTGTGGGGCCATGACATTTGTGTGGCAATAAAAGCTTCTCATTAAGGGTAAATGGGTAAAATGAAAGAGTTTAAAGTTGAATTATTTCCAAATTTAGAAATGTGTCATTTGTTTTGGAACAGACTAAAAATAAAAGTACCTCATTTAATATGAAACGGAGGGAGTATTAAATTTAAATTTGTGCTTACTTTTCTCATTTATTTTCCATAACTTTATTAATTTTCTTATTAAGGCTTCATCCCCGCCCGTCACGGAGGCCCCTTCGTGCGATGCTGACATGGTTGCGACGGATGATTATATTCAGGAGCCCGACGAGACCATGGTAAGATGTTGTGACTTAATATATATATTCATATACTGAGCTGACTTATTCTTTTGTAGGTTGTTGATGGACTGACGACCCCTTCTCCGATCTTGCCAGTACTACTGACGATCATGCTGCAGCGCATCCTCAGATAAAGAGGCGACACGATGAGGATGATCCTGATAGCGTATCCGGGCGGGATGGGATGCGCCTCAGGCCAGCGGCTGCATTGAAGCACACAGGCTGTGCGACACATTGATTTTCTTTATTTGTATTTTATGTACGCTATGTAAATATTATTTTGTGTAAATAATAATAACAATTTTTTTATGTTTTTATAATATGCGCATTATGTTTTTATTTCCCCATTTCTTCT